TTCGTCCCTATCCGAGAAGACTAGAATATCTAACCATTTCTTGATGTTATAGAAAGGTAGCATATTCTTCTCAATTATTTTAAGACCTTGAGTGTTGGTCCGGCCGGGGCTCGAACCCTAGACCTCCCGCACAAACAGTCCAGCGCTCTATCCATTAAGCTAACCGTGGGGCGGTTAAAAGTTTGGAAAATAGTTCGGTTAATAGGCGGAAAATAGTTCGTGTAAGAACACTTGGAGTGCTGGGTAAACCACTGGTCTTCGCGGTGGTGGTAATCGGCGCAGGTATCGTCAAACCTATGCATCTCCGAAACACGCACATGATATAAAATATAAAACACTTTTTTTTATTTCTTCTGCCAAGCTTTCATGCCGCGGTTTATCAGTTCTTCACAGTCATTTCAGATTCGACTGCGTTGAAACTTTCTATCTATTCGTAGTCACTCTAAACACCCTCTAAACACTGGCAAAAAATAGAAGAAAAAAATTAAAAAAAAAAATGCCTGGAAATAGTTCGCACACGTACTCAGAGGAGCAACTAGTTTCTCTCTGGAAATCGTTCTGTAAATATTCCAGCCTCTGATTGGTTTGAAATTTCTGTTCCTCGTTACCTTAGCGACAATAAGGCTAATAGCCATTAGCCCGATTGCTGTTTTGTTTTGCGACAGTTTCAGGTCATTTTACCTAACAGTGAAGGCTTTTCTCATCTCGGTGACACTCACTTTATAGAGCCAGTTGATCGTAAAACAGTTCATATGGAGATAAAGGCAGATATCTTTAGTTTACCTATTTATTCCCATTGTTTATTTGCTGTTTATAGTAAAAGAAAGTTCGCATTCCATCGGTTTGAAATCGAAGTGAATGAACTCACCATTCAACGACTTATCAGTATTCGTTATTTGATTCTGCGGCTTTGTAAGTTTTCACACCTATGTACATTTTCGCGCAGCAAAAGAAAGAATTTCCCATCTTGAATCATCCGGTGTATATGAACAAAAGTGAACACTTTCAGCAAAGCATCTTAAGAGAGGCCGCCAGTATATTTCGAAAATCGAAAATCAGTGACGAAAAACAGAATTTTTTTTTATTTTGCCAAAACATCCCTTTCTGTGAACTAGTTTCGAAAAAAATATTTTAAAGTTCCAGCGATTTTCTTTCCGGCTGAAATTTAAAAAAGTTTGAAAATTGGCTAAAAAAGCCGTTTTAGGCTTGCCTGAACGTTAAAATCGTCACGCAATTTTAGAAAGATGTTGGTAGCGCCAAACAAGTCCATTCACCATCAAACTTTGCACAGTAATTATAATATCACTGGACAGTAAAAGCATATAAAAATTTTCTTCTAGTTCTCTTTGGTATGGGTTTTATCGCCGTTTTTATAAAGGCGTATTTTGCACGTCTTTTTGGGAGACGAAATGAAGGCTAACTTTGACCGGTTTAAACGACACCTGGTACCTAAAAAATTTCGACATTAAAACAATATCAGACGAGAGCTCATTTATCAAACTATACACCTGGAAAGTTTAGCCGTTGGAAATTAAGTCTCGTGAATTTAGTGACTGAAGTTGAGCAGCCATAACATGGCTAAGAAGTTCGTAGTGCCGCCTGTTATCTCTGTAGCGCTTCTTGCCATCTCCTTCAGTAGGCAAACCTCCGGAGAAAAAGTTTGTTGTCTCGGCTGTAAAACCCGTGTCAGCTTATGTTTGCAATAGAAGAACCGTTACCCCTAAAAAGCTCAAATAATTCGAGTAGCGGAGCATGCGCACTCATTCTGCCGCTGTGTTCTGTTGTGTCTACAGTGAGTATCATGAGCCGCTCGTGCGCAGTTCAGCTACCTTTGAAGCTAACTATTAAGCTTATTTTAAAGTTTTGTTGAAAGGTTCAACTTTGTAAACAAACATGTCTCTATAGCCAGGGAGTGTATCAATTTATCACTAAAAGTGTATAATAGGAGAAGTTTTTGGAATCCTTGCTTATAAGTCTAGTTTACTTTAGTTTATTAAGGTTCGCCAACATACAACACAAAAATATCTATAAAAAGGTACAACAAAGGCAGGAGGAAAAAAAACAGGGCACGCCCCAATTGGCATTTGTTCCCCTAACAAATTACAACAATAAAATCACAATATTCATAAACAACATTTAAAAACCAATGAAAGTCAGGTTGGAAGCTAGGGCGAAATGTACTTGTCCATTTTGTATATATAGTGAAGTAGAAGAGAGTGTTTGAAGGTTTTGATAGTTTTGGCTTGTTTCAGTTCGGAAGAGAGATTGTTCCAAAGTTTAATTGATCTTGGGAAAAAAGACTGGATGAAGTACTGTTGTGTATGAGTAGTAATCGGGCGAGAGTTTGAAGGATGATAATGACGAGTCATATAACGAGATGTAATGGGAAAAACGAGATGATTAAAGTTTGCATTAATAAGACCAGATCGGATTTTAAAAAATAAAATTAAGTCACGAGATTCCCTTCTGTTTTCGAGTGGTAGAAGTTTAAGTTTGATCAGACACTTAGAGTAGGGGTAAGCGTCTCTATCAGGATAATTCATGATAAACCTGGTGGCCCGCCGTTGTATATTCTCTAGTAGCCTATGATGTTTAGCAGTGTAAGGAGACCATAAGGACGAGGCGTATTCTAAAATAGGGCAGACTAGCGTAATGTACATCAGTTTTCTAGTAGTTTCGTCGATTATATCCCTTCCACACACTCGTTTAATAAGACCAAGGACTCTATTGGCTTTTAAACAGGTCTGCTTGATGTGCGTAGACCACGAAAGCGAGTCTGTGATGGTCACACCCAAATCTCTTGTAGTAGAAGGAGAATCTAATATTTAATCATTTAAACAATAATTTTGCTGTTCTCGGCGGCGAGATCTTTTGTTGGACATATGTAGCACTTTGCATTTGTTAGTACTGAACGCCATGCCATTATATTGTCGTCGCACCATCTTTTGGAACAATCTAAATCAGCTTGAAGTAGTGTGGTTGAGTCTGCAGTGTCGATAGGGCGGTACAACTTTCCGTCATCTGCAAAGAGACCTAGACTGGACCTTTGGTTATTCAGTCCGCCAGGTCGTTGATGAAGACCAGGAAGAGTAGAGGGCCCAAGATAGAACCCTGGGGCACCCATAAGGTGACCGGGCGCCACTCTGAAAAAGCACCATCAAGGGAAACTCGCTGCTTTCGGTCTGACTGGTAACTTGTGAATCATTGAAGTACAGAGTCAGAGCTCCTCTGCATTTTCAAACCTATGCATCTCTGTAACACGCACATGACTAAAATATAGAACACTTTTTTTATTTCTTCTACCAAGCTTTCATACCGTGGTTTATCAGTTCTTCACTTAATTTCAGATTCGACTGCGTTGAAACTTTCGATCTATTCGTAGTCACTCTGAAACCCTCTAAACACCGGCCGCGAAAAATAGAAAAAAAAACAGGTCTGGAAATAGTTCGCACACGTACTCAGAGGAGCACTCTGGAAATCGTTCTGTAAATATTTCAGCCTCTGATTGGTTTGAAATTTCTGTTTCTCGTTACCTTAGCAACAGCAAGGCTGATAGTCATTAGCGTGGGTCAGGTCATTTTACCCAACAAAAAAAGGTTCTTCTGATCTCGGCGACATTCACTTTATAGAGCTAGTTGATCGCAAAACCGTTTATATGGAGATAAAGGTAGGTCTCATCAGTTTACCTATTTATTCCTATCGTTCATTTGCTGTTTATGGTAAAAGAATGTTCGCATTTCATCGGTTTGAAATCAAAGTGAATGAAATCACCATCTGTTTCAATAATTTCTAAACGACTCATCAGTACTTGTTATTTGATAGTGCGACCTCGTAAGTTTTAACACCTATGTACATTTTCGCGTACCAAAAGAAAGAATTTCTAATCTTGAATCATACGGTGTACGTGTTAACAAAAGTGAACACTTTCAGCGAAACATCTTAAATGTGGGGCTAAGTAATTCACTTTCCTTTGGGATAAACCTAATGAAAATAATCATTGAATTTAGGTTTATCTGAGTCAGTCTTCATCATTGAAAGCTACCATGTTACGAATAAACGTGCTTGCTCGATTTCTGTCTTCGCTTCCGAACACTAATGCTTTTATTTCCACACGGTTTAAAGTGAATTTTATTTGCATGTGCCCTAATGAATACTTTACTTTCCCGTCTATTTTAAGAATTGAACTAAATAAACAGCCCCGAGGCGGGAACATCAGAACTTGCAAAGTCTCCGCTAATGTTTAATTTCTTGTGTAAACTTCTGGCGTTAGAAACTCTCTGTCAGTGAAATTGTCAAACGCCTCTTTGCGGAGAACGTGAAGAAGTCAATGTCTGTACGCTGAAATATGTCATTCTCTGTCAAGCATTTACAGCAAAACTGATATTAAGAGCCAGCCAGCCTACTCAGGGGGTATTTTTGATGAAGGCAGTCGCTTTTAAACTGTACTTTTATGGCGACTGTAAGGGCAATTAATGGCACACCTGGCCGACGCGTTTTGATTCGCGAAGATAAAAGAAGCCATTAAAGTTGGCGCTTGGCTGTCTGCTTTAAGACCCAATATTCTGTTTACATGAATACGAGCTC